TAAGAACTTGTAAATATCTTGGATTAAATTATTAGTATGTGTATTTTTATGTGTTCAATCATTGATTGTCTTTTTAACCAGTCTACCTATTACACTCGTTCATCAATAATGTCGATCAAAGAATGCAATATGGTACAATTCCAATTTCCGTAATAAGTAAATAATTATTTTGCTAACAACGCGTGTGTAGCTGTCTGTAATGCAACGCGTCCACATTGCGAAAAAGAAAGTGAGCCAGTCATCGTAATGTGAATCGAGCCCATTATTATTCACACCGGTCTGTGACCTTTGAAGTACAAATTATTTATTTAGTCATTTAAACTTTTTAGTAATTTAATTAATTTATTATTATTATTATTTTTAACGATGCCTTTAGGATAGCATTATTCAGTGTTGGAAGGACGTTTTACAAACAGACAGACACCCAGATGCGAAACAACCTTCGTGTGTCACACAAATAGTTGTCCTGTGTGGGAATGAACCCACGATCCCCGAAGCCGAAGCGAAGTTTTTTTTTATTACATTAAAAATATTGCTTGACAACTAAAAGGATTCCCGAAACACTAAAAGTATTATTCAATATAATGTCTTAGAAGAAAACCCCGTCAAAGTCAAAAGCGAGATTCACGTTCGAATACAAAATAAAGTGTTGCGAGAGATTGACAGCAGAGGTCGCTGCAGCGACCAATAGCTGCTACAGGAGACCGAATAAGTAAGTATATTTAATGTCACGGACACGCGTATAATAATTCAACTGATATCATATGCAGGCCGCAGAAAGAAACATCTTGCGTGGGCACTTCTCATGTTATAAGTTTGTTTTTATATTGTTGTTGATTATTATTTAACACTCGCTTTCTCGTATTTAATCTTACACATTAAGAAGTGTACTTTCATTCCTTAAAATTTTATTGCAATAAGTTAAATTATTTCTCAACTAATAATTTATTCGTTATCGTTTCTTTTCCACATTCCAATTTTTGTAGATGCCATTAAAGCAGTACGATCCAAAAGAAATTCATAGCAGTAGAGCCACTGCGCGCGTAATAATGTATGCCATCTAATAAATCATTTTAGCGTGAAACTGCAAAGCCGTATTGTTAAGCGTGAGCAACAGGCGTATCGGATTATATCGACATCGAATCGTTGAAAAAAAAGTGATTTACCATTGTTAGAACATTCATGGGCGTCGCCACGCTCTCCTTTTTCAACAAATATTCAACCGCTACGTGTATATTCTATTTTTGTGCCTGGTAACCACCTGTTATCGCGGCCGAGTTGGTTCCTGATTACTCCTCGCTGTGAAGGGTGCGTGAAGCTGAATGCGATGGGCAGGTCCCCGTGCGTCTCGCGCGATTCCCAAAAAAATGCGCGGCTGATTTAGGCAGCGATATAAACGAAACCCTCCGCGTAATAGTATATCGATATCGATGTTTTACGAACAAAAAATATTATTTGTGATTTAAGCGTTACGAGGGCGACGCAGATATTGTATAATGACGTATAATAACTCTAGTCTTAAATGTTGCAAATGTTGAGCGTTATCGCTAGAACGTGAACACAAATGTTACATAGAGATTTGTGCGCGTAAAAAGTTCAAAATGTACAGAATCCGATCACAACTTCCCCCTCCACAAGCTTCCACAGTCTGCTCTCTACGGAGTAAAAGGCGAACTTTGATCATCCCTTTAAATCAGCAATCGAAGAAAAAGTTAGAATTATGTCTACACTAAATTTAATAGTTATCTTTTTAGAATGACTCGGATCTTCTTGTAATGGCATCCAAATATTCATTACAAGGAATAGAAACTTAATTCACTGTGATAAGATAGCCAATAAAAATAACGGAATCGAAACAGTATAAATGGTGAAATTATAAAAGATACATCGACGCTTTTGATACATACAGCCAACACTATGAACAGGTAAACTAAAGATTGTAGGGATAGCTGATTTGATAGAAGCATTGTAAAATAGACTTTAAGGTCATACAATAGAGGTCAGTGTCGTCCTGTAGCTGTTACTAAGCGTTTTTTTTTTGCGCCGAAACCGAACAAATGATCTAAGTGTACGAATCGTGTATTTTTTGCGCTGACACGTTCATATTGATTTGTTGCGCGGCAACAGGAGTGTAGCCGGCGAATGACTCTTTTTTTGCACTGGCATTTGTTTTTTTGTTTGCAAATCTAATACGCTACGTGGTTAACGTTATGATAACTACGTGTGGCGATTAATCATTTTTAATTTGGTGCCGCTCTTTGTTTAGCATATATCCATAGTATTTCGCTAGTCAGGTGAGCATTTTGTTTAAGTTTCATTGGTCCGGCCACTTCGCTTGTAAAATTACAACTGTTGAGACACCTACTACGTGTTAAATGGACAATCCTTTCGAGAGGACATGATTATATCTGCAAAGGATCGCCAACACGCGATCTCCATTAAAAACTAGTGGTATATCATTAAAAGTGTATTCCAGAAAGCTTTGTATCAAATACTTTCGGTACTAATTCTTCACGCTTTGGTCTGCTCTGTTGTGGAGTAAATTGTTTTCAGTCCGACTTCATGTACTTAGGTAAAAACCGTCAAGCTCTCAATATTAACAGCTTTGGGTCGAAGTAATTTTTTAATGTATGTGAAAATAATTTGCCGTAATATAGGTACATACATATAAATTGTCATAATATGAAAAAAATTATTTATCCACGTAACGCACCGAGCCACGACCTCATCTAATCCCGAATTGAAATATCGCAGTACTCGACGATTATTCCTGTACAAAGCGAGACGGTAGATATTCTGGTGTGGTGGAAAAGGGACGGGGGTACATCTGCACGGGTACGCACTTGTTTTTTTGGGTCACGGGCTCAGTGCTCGCGCAGTGTGCTGCAAACGAGATGCTATTGTGGGTTCGAACGTTAGGATTGCCCTCAAATCACAACTAATATGACTTATAGAATATTAACTGGAACATATGTTATTTCTTAGTTAAAATGTTAGGTTACATTTTTTTAACATTGAGTCTGTTCGCAGACCGAAACATTTAAAAACCCAATAAACCTATAAAAATGATTCACTTAAGCACTTGATTGTCGATAATAATCTTCACGCTGTTCGTATAATGTAATGGATGATGTATGAAAGCTCGTACAAAACGGACGCTTGGCCCTTATTTAATCTTAAAGGCCTTATTTAATTCTTCTGCTTAGCATGAAGAACCGATGAAGGACCAATTAATCGGACGTTTAGGTTCTTAATAGACGCAGAAGTTAAGTAGTCAGTGGCTGAGTTTCAACATTTTGCTGGACATGATACTTTGACTGTGAATGTATAATATAAAGAATTTATAACTGTTAGGCAACCAAAATTCAGAATGTTTACAGAACTGAGTAAACTTTCATTCAAATCATTAAAGTGAAGGTGAATCAAAAGATTTTGTCGGCTTCACGACTCTTATTAATAACGCCTTTATCACCTATGAGTTAACGTTATCTTAATTAGATCAGTTCGTTGTGGGAACAAATTTCAAAATTTTATTCATATTTGGACTATTACTTGGACGATCAAATCTTGCGAAGTTCTCCCATTTTGTATGGACAAAGATAGTTTAATTCTCAATTAATTGAATTCAGTTTTGAAGTACAAGATTATGAAGATTATAACAAATCGCCCCCGGCAAAGAAGCGAAGTTGCTACAAAAAATAACTAACAAAATAAATCTAATGTAACATAGGTAGTTAATAAAGTTATTATCACAACAATATTGACCGGAAACGGGCCAAGGGCGCTAACGTTGAATTACAATACAATAACACTCGATAATTATGCGGTTTAGTTTAATCGCACAAAACAAAACGTCGCCGCTAAATGTGAAACATATTTTCGGTCTTATAGTTTGAACAAAATCCACGTAAATGCGTAGTAAGAGTGAGCTGGTAAGTGAGATGAGAGTAACTCCAATTAGAATCTGAAACCAAACATCGTAACCAAGTTGTGAATATGTCAGTACAAATAATATCCACTCCACACCACCTATATATCCGCTCTCAATAACGGTGATAATGTATGGTGAAGGTACACTATATCAGTTTTAATAAGTATCGATACAAACTAGTCTATTTTCCACTCATAAATGAAATGCACCAAAGCAACGCAAACATCCCAGTGCAAATATTAATTGGCACGAAACAAATAGCGCGCCCAGACTTGTAAGCGCGCCATCTGCGTTATCAACTCGCGGAAGAGAGGACATACTCGCTATATAGGTACGCGGCACGCCTGTTCGTGGCTTGGTTAAATACACGGATAAGATAGCAGCCCGGGCTTGGTTAGTAACACGTATGACGTCACGCCGATTCGGTCATCAGTTTGTCACTTGGATTGTAAGTTGCCGCGTCGCGAACTTCGACAAGTTTGTAAAAAACATGTAGATGCCTTGTCTTTTCATTCTTGGAGCCCAATATAACATAGAGCTCTCTGTTAGAACTACCACGTACGGCCAGCTTCCACACGAAATTTGGTGATCCTCTTACTGTCATATTAAGAACGGTACCTACTCGTGAATGGGCTGAACTACTCGCTGGAAGTCATAGAATTCTGTAAGCAAGCCTATTTGCAGCTAGTTTGCCTCGCTTGCTTATTGTGGTACAAAGATAAAAGGTGCAAATAGGTGTTTCGTTAGGCCCCAACGTGGGCTGCAGTTCTGCCTTAAAAGATATTAGACAATTAACGAAACAATTACATTGCCATGTTCAGAATTACTCAATTTGCACTACTCACCATATTGACTGATAACTTTCGTATCATTATATTGAATGAAAATGAAATATATATTCGTAAAGTCGTAAAAGAATTTAAGTTAATTATAAGGTAAAAAATATAAGATAGTTAATGAATGAAACACATTTTAATTATACCTGCCTTCTTATAACGTTTTTTTTCGTAGATGCAATAAAACTTATAACGATCCAGATCACTTGATAGTGAGATCGGGTGATCTATTAATGCCCAGTTTCCGAAAGGCTAAACTGTTTAGGTTAGTCTATTGGATAATTCATTTGCACTCTTTCAAATTACAAGCCACAGTAATGTAATGAAAAAATCTTTATTAACTTATTAGTCTTTTCAATTTGATTGATGAGGTCGTGGCACGCGATGTTTCTTGGTTGAATCGTTACTTTTGTGTAGCTGTTTCGTATCATGTGGAAAAAACTATGTTTATTTCTAGTCATGTATTTTATTTTCAACATTACACGATCATCATTAAACTTATCTGATTTTCGATGGATTTTCCAAATAAAAATTCTGGTGATCCGCCTTTTCCTCAATTTGTCCTTGTAGAACGTAAGTTTGACAAAAAAATACGGAAGAGTAAAAAATAGACAAAAATTAGCCAATCTTTAACCTCAGTACATCATCGGTGTCTTCACTATACATTGAATTAAGAAGCGAGCAACTATTACCAAAATGATCACCAGCCTTGCCAGTAACAAGGGTATGAGTGGCACAGGCAATTGTGCTATGTCAGTCTGAACTAGTTTACGCAGAATAACTGCTCTAGGGGTGGTGGAGCACGCCCCCGTCCTAGCTCACCCAGCTCACCCATACTGAGCTGCTAACTCTGAAGTAAGCGTCGACTTTAAACACAGTGTTCATTGATCATCCGTCTTTTTGGGCGTGTATTACACCGATGCTACTTTTAGGGTAAGTAAAGTACCACGACCTCGCAAAAGACCGGCGTGAAGTGGTGAGTGAGGTGGCCGGGGCCAACTTAATTAAAAGGCGGCAAAGCATCTGTAACCCTGCCGGCGTTGCCAATGTCAATGGGCGGTTATCACTTAACATCAGGTGAACCGCCAGCTCGCTTGCCACCTTCTGGTTTATAAATGTTTTTTAAATTTTAAATTTTTTTTTTAAATTCGTGATTTATATTGAAATCACGAAATATCACAACAGGGCAGGGGGGTGTGGGGGGGGGGGGGGGTGTAGTAAGGTATAACGTATATTTATTTTTTAATCAAACGCGCGATTTCTAAATCAAAAGCAGCTTGTACGAAGTGTTCGCGCGCCGCGACGACCAGTCGCTCGGTTCGCCAGTCGTCAGTTATTATGTTATTTTGGCTAAAATATAATATTCTAAAAATTTTAAGATTCTTTGTAGGTACAAAAAAATACACGTGATTTTGGATGGGGGGAGGGTTAGTCTTAAACCTCACCACGTATCACCAAGGGCGAGGAGGCAAGGGTTTAAAAATGCTAAAAAAAACAACACGTAATTAATGGACGGCCCATACTTTACTTTTTAACTTGAAACTATACAAAAGAAAAATTTGTTACAAACAATTTTTTAACATAAAAACTTTTATACATTAAAGACACAAATTTATACAATTAAAGTATTTAATAGATAATGGGTACGATTATACCGTTTTGGTAAATATTTCATTTGAATTTCCACTCATAAGTACCTAAGCCCTATAATGGGCTGCTTCAAAATAATTTACTTTTAGTTAATCAAGCAATACTAAGTCTTATCGCTTCGTAATAAGAACTTTTATTAAACATTTGACGAACCATATAATTATACGTTTCGGGAAGTATATATTTTGTACGGGTACAATATGATTTGTGCCTTTAATAATACGGAAAAGTTTATTAGGTCACCAAATAGACGCCGTTCGTTTTAAGTTATCCCTTAATTTTCTGCCTCGGGGCTGTTACAGGAGATGGACTGCAAGTTAAATTCCCGAGAGCCATCCTTTACATTAGGCTCTGATAAACTGCAAACTTTGGACATCATTGAAGGATATATCTTTTTCAAAATTACACTTATTCAATTAATTTTAAACTAATAATTATAAAACTTGACTTAAGCTTTCGGAGTGCTAAGAATCTTACTATAAATACTAATGAAGCATGTTATGGCCGTAGATACTACAGGAAATAAAAAAAAACCAGCCCATTGCGAGTCGGACTCGCCCTCGAAGGGTTCCGTACCATTCTCTGTAAAAGCGGCAAAATAGTCGTCTGATGTATGGGAGCCCCACTTAAATAATGTTTAATTCTGTTTTTTAGTATTTGTTGTTATAGCGGCAACAGAAATACATCATCTGGGAAATTTCAATTGCCTAACTATCACGATTCATGAGATACAGCTTGATGACAGACGGAGAGACAAACAAACAAACAGACAGGATTCCATTCTACGCTTTGGGTACGGAACCCTAAAAATGCCAAAATAACAAAACAGGCCTTGATAAAATGGGCGACAATGGTGTTTTATTTGAGTTTTTCGTGATCATAATGCCAGATTGGTGCCACATTTGCATTAACCGAATCCCTTCTCCCAACAGCACTGACAATATTTCTGTGAGTGATCTCATGTTTATACACGTTTCAAGAGAACGATATCACGCTTGCCAACGTATCGCGCCAGGCAGAGTGCCAGAAGATCCATACATCTGATCTCATTAACGACATCTACTTGGAGTGTGTGCTGTATGCAAGTAATGTCTGTAAACAAACTTGAAACAAAGAACCCCCACAGGTGCAACAACTCACACAGGGGATAAAATCATTATTTAATGAGTAAAACATTTATCTGATGGTACCTTAAATCATAATGATGATTCAGATATTCATGTTTTTTTTATGTGATAAGGTGACAAACGAGCCGGCGGTTCTCCTGATGTTAAATGATAACCGCTGCCCATTGAGATTTGCAACACCCGAAGGGCAGATATGTCACTACCTTTTAATAAAGTGGGCTTCGGCTTCCTCACTCACCAGACAAAACGCAAAAGCATAACACTTCGCGCCGGTCTTCTGTGAGGTCGTGGTAATAACCCGGACAGACCTGCCCATTCGTGCAACAGCGAGGGGTGTTGCGTGATCCTACCGCAGTAATCTATCATCTTTTCTACGGTATGTCCTGCTCTCAACATTATAATAGAAGATGCAACAATAATCATCCCGCTGTCTAGAGAATTGTACCTATACATTATAAGCGATATCGGCATTCTGATATCTGATACTAATGTCGAACATTCATTCAACGCGCGACCCAGCAGCGAGCGAACAACAAGCAAAGCGAGCGACGAAGCTCCGCGAGTTGGCATCGGCGCACGGACCGGCGCGATTAGACCATACAGATGCGACACTAGCCATAAAATACAAGAAATATTACTAACGGTACTAGAGTGTATCTCCGAGCGGTATCTTGATAAAAACATGAATATATATTAAGAGGCATTTCAGTATGTATCCAAACGTGCAAACACGATTCACGTTGATCCTTAATATAAGTTATTGCAGTTTCTAAGTTTCGCATCATCGGCTGTATTCGGCTATAAACCACAGAAACGCGCCCAGATATTATCCATAAAATAAAGCCACCGTGTGACGCGTAGACGTGTCTACGTGTAGTAGTCTACACTAAACCGAAGCGCCACCAAGCGCGATGAGCGATCGCGCGCTAGTGCGGCAACGCCGCATCGCTCTCGCTCGGCGTAGCGCAGTATCGCGGCGGCATCGCGACGGGCGGCCGCGCGAGAGCTATGAGCAGCAGGGAGTTCCGCGAGCGGCTAATCGACGAGGTGAAGAAGCACCCGGTGCTGTACGACACTCGGCACGAGAACCACCGCGACATCGACGTGCGCGACCGCTGCTGGACCGAGATCTCCGAGCGTCTCGGCGCCAACGGTGAGCTTGCCGTGTGCCACCGCCCTTGCGGCCCACGAGGACGCACACTCGCCCGTTCCTCTGTTCTATAGTCTATATCTCTCTTATTACGTTTTACTAAGACTTTGATTTTTTTACTTTACGTTGTTTTAATATAGAAGAATACATATTTTGCCTTATCATTGTGATAAGCGTTCTTGATATCTAGTAGGCACTGAGGGCGTGTTATCACAGTTGGGACAAAAATATGCATAGGGCTGGAATCGAATTCAAGTCACGTAAAACGTCGGTTTGGTACCAAATTGTTATACATGTATGCATACTAAATGACATACGAACATATGACTCGCTGCCCCGTGCGAACGAATACTTAACGTTCACTATTTGGCTATCATTCATTTAAAAAAAATGTCAATAGATGGCAGCACAATCTGTATAAGAAAAATTTTAATGAAAGTTTTTTATGAAAATATTAAATTTGATCAAGAAAAATGGACCAAAAATATTGCTTTAACTTCACATCACCTTTGACAAATGATATTGACGTTTTGTCATAATTATATAACATTAGAATGACGTCACTCCCTTGACTGACATGATGTTGGCAGAATTCTTTTAAGAGAAGCCATTTATTAAAGAAAGAAGAAGAACATTAGAATGGTGAATGATATACAACATGCTTTGTCAGGAAGATGTTGTCAATAACTGGATTGGTGCAGAGAATAGTGAACCTGTCTTTTACGTCAAAGGGGGCAGGTTCGATCCCAGCTATTGGTAAAATACTGCGCGAAGAAATTTTTCTGAATGTTAATGAGCTGTGTGTATATACATGTATGTACTTTAAAATGTATGTATTAACTAGAGAAAAGTATTTGGGAACTAATAAGGTTGATGAAAGTTGACGCATTTAGTTATACATGTTATATACACATCTCTGTAAATGTGGAACTATTGTCGTATTATTGTGTAATATATTTGTATTTGTAAATGCTATCGCAGCGGACGTTCTGAAGCGAGAGTGGAAGATCCTGCGCGACTCCCTCCGGCAGGCCCTCAAGAAGATCAGGAAAGGGGCCACCACGAAGGCCGGCGTGCCCTGCAAGAAGTGGCGCTTCCAGACTCGCATGGCGTTCGTCCTGCCCTACATGACGGTGCGACGGTGAGGAATACAATAATTATCACAAACACTTTTTGTAATTTACATTCTTTTATTATACCGTATCTTCAGGCCGTGTACAGAGTATATCCTGTTTCGCTCAGGTATTAACTACAGCTGATTGTAACGTCGACAAGCGTCAGTAACAAAAGTTATCTATTGGATTGGAACAGACCTTGACTGTTTTAGTATTATATCCCGAGACGCAGTCGCCTGTTTGTGTGACCCATATGTAGTTGTTTCGCATCTGGATGTTTTTCCGCGTATAAATTATGTTTGTAAAACGTACTTACAACGTACGATAATGTTATCCTAAAGTTAGGGCAATGTTTTTTTAAGAAAAAAAAATTGTAAATTTTCCCTTAGATGAGAATTAAATTCCTCGTGTAGTGAGTGCTCCGACAAAAGGGCAAGTTAAATGGTATAACTTTTTGTTTTTATCAGAAATCAAAGGGTACCGAAATCAGACATCAAAATCGACATAACGGACGTCCAGTCGGAGGCCGAGCAGGAGACAGAGACCTGGGAGCCACCCAGCGGTGGTTCAGAACAAGACTCCTTGGATCTGTTCTTCGCCAGCGTTTGCCAAAGCACCAAAAGGCTGCCCAAACGGTTCCAGAACCAAATCAAGAAGCAGGTTCTCGAAGTGCTGCTAAGGGTCGAGGAAGAATGCGAAAATGAAACAGGGGAACCTAAAACGGGGCTGTACAAAACTTAGATATTATAATGCCCAAAAATTAGTACGAGTGAACTAAAATAATTACCGTGCAAAACAGGTGTTCAAGCGGACGGACAATTATTACATTAATGCAATTAATAAACTGCGACACGTTAAGTTCTTTTGAGAGTCTTTTCGATTGTTTCGAACAATAAATAAAACTGCTCATTTAAGAAGAAATTTAAATAAAGAGTGCGTTAAGGGATAAAAGGTGCTACAGGGAGGTGAGGACATAAAACTTCATGAAACGACACCGAACAGGACTCTGTCTCCTAAATTGTCGCTCCACTTTCATTTCGCCTTCCTGTACACCAAAAGGGGCTGCCCGGAATAGCTAAAACAGAACGAATCTTCAAACTCGGTTCTACCACTGTTTAATAATACTAATTAATTTTACTAATTGCAAACTTAGCTCATTTAATCTGGTAGTACCTGGAGGACCGAGCTTAGCTCGGTTTTTTTTTTGGTAAATCGTATATTTTGGAAATTAAAAAATAAAGAAAGCAATGATCTGGCATCTGGTATAGAAAAAAAAATAAGTGTGTAAATGATCGTGACACTAACCGCAACCGAGCTCTTATAACATTTTTTTTTCGCCGTATTTTACCGTCATATTCGAATGATATTTTTCATTCCCTGAAAATTCTGATAAAAGGACATTTTCTAAAAATGAAACCTAGCTAGATCGATTTTTCGCCCCCAAATCTACACACATATTAAATTTAATGAAAATCGCTGGAGCCGTTTCGGAGATTCTAATTATACAGCGTGTCTTTACAATCGAGACAATGAATGAACACACATATAGAGGATAACCTTTAAAATTGTTTTAAAAAATGACATTCTTTAAACATCAATATTTACCGAGTTATTAAATTTTCCAAAACAAACAATATTAGAACACCCTTATATATAAAAATGTAAGTTAAAGTTCATTTGTAAAGGTCACAAAGCATATGAATGGGTTGAATGAATTAAAAAGAGACAAAACATACTGTTAGAAGAAGAGGCTTGTAATGCGACGCTGTGGCAACGAATGAAAAAGTCTCTGAATGCATGAATCAGTCAGTTGTAGTTGTATAGGATGTTACAAATTTTGTTTATTATTTAAAGTTAATATTTTTTATGATTATTGGTATTGTTGTCTAACGACACGCTGTATATATATATATATATATATATATATATATATATAACGTGTTTTAGAGAAACATTATCACCATAACACAGCAACCAACTGCTGCATTCTCTTTCAGCATCCGTGAGAAACAGATCCGTAACGTGGATACAATGAATCCTCACAATGTATACAATTGAATGTCTAAATGCCTGTATGCTGCATAATTGCCTAGTTTCCAATTAACACGTCCCGTCACGACGAGTGACAATGGATGTCGCGACAGTCGCTCGTTAGCTATAATGACGTTAATGAATGTTACTTAGTGAGGAGCAGACACGAGCCCATCTAGTGAGCGATTCATTACGCACGTGTACATGACAAACGATTGTTCCGGGAGAATGGATTGGGTGCGAGCGACGCCGAATGATAACACTGTTAGTGTTACCCGTGTAAAAGTCTCATCTTTACGGTGGTTACAGATTCAATCGTTCGTCTCAGTATCTTCTCTCCTTATTTTATTTAAAAAAAAAACTTTCAAGTTCTCCTAAAAACAGAATGCGGGAACATCAATGGATAAACAAGAGGTAAATGAAAAATTGGGGAGTTGCAAAATTATTGGCGGCTTTGGGATCTCCACTCCGATGCTTGCGACGTCTCTCAAGCAGAAGCAATAAAAATGAAACATTCCCGGAAATAAACCGTGCGCCCCATAAAGGCGCCGTGGCCGTCGCGTGGCGAAGACTCGCTCGCCTCTCGCTCGGCCGCCCTGGCCAGGAAGTCGCTCGTTGTTCTCATGTCTCCACCGCTGCCGTTCACTGGATTGGAACTGTTTATGGCCCCCAATGGACGCTGCTAAGGTTCTATTGGCGTATAGGAAATTCTTCCGAAGATGACATATGATTTTACACGACAGGCACAATACTTATAGGCTTGCTTTTCAAAGCGGGAAAGCATTTGAAAATATATGTCACAATGGGCCATAGTTCAACATAAATACTAGATAAGTACGTAGAAGTGGCAAGGACGTTATTTCTAATCCTTCCTTGCATAATTTCAAGAAAGAGATTGTTAACCGCTTTAACTCAGCGCACGAGATTTGATACGTGCTATTTCACATTCAGTCTTCTTAGTATATGATTGATCTACGAGTGGAAAAGCTTCAAAAAGAAATGAGTCTTGCAACTCTTTTTAGGTATCTACAGTACGAAATAAAGGCTCTCTTCTAAAGTCTAAAAAAACAGAAGTACTATGACGTTAATACGACGGAAAGCAGACAATGATTACTTTACAATTAAATTTATCAACTCTCAGGGCACATTATCCAATCTATATCTCACTAAGTTGGGACTATTTATAATAGGGAAGTGCGAATAAATCAATAGCAGGACCGTCATAACTCAGACGTCATTGTGATTGACGTTTTGATAATTAGAGATGATCCAGGAAACAAAGGACGGACCACGAAGACTCAATGGGCGTAGTTACGTATGCTAAATGAACAGCCACCCTTCGTGTAAGTACCGAAATGGATGGAGATGAATATTTTAAGTTTAATTGACAATACTACCCCCTGAAATTTTGATTGATTAATTTGAATTGATAATGGCATGGCTTACTTGAGCATAGTTTCGGGAAAGAGGCAAGACCTTTGTGAATAAATATATAGTATTTTTTTTAAAATAACCCGTATTATTGTTTATAATTTCTTAATTATATACAGTCCATTACAAAGAGTTAAATAAAACACAAACGTTTCACAAGCCTCATAGGCCAAAACGGTAAGTATAACTCAAAGTTCTCGAGATGTTCTTTCGAATTTGCCACCTTTTCATCACGCCGTTGATAAGTAAATAAGTTGATAAGTATATAAATATTCCGGTGGGAAAATCGAATCAATAGAATCTCATTTGAAATGTGGCTCTATAAATTGGGCATTCGCCGGCTGCAATCCGCCCTCGGAGTCGGTGACATTTCTAACGCCTAATGCCGCTCATGGCTTCCAGGTGCTTGCAGGTGAAACTACTACCACAGTAGTAGTAGTTTGCGTATATGTGGTACTACCACTGCATACCTATACGCAACACATCCTATTATATATCACAACTGTCCGCAACTGCGATCCATAATTTCCGCTGAGAACGTTTAAATGCAACAAACAAAATGGTTCAATAAACAACGGCGCAAACTTGCCAACTCAATAGAAAAAGAACTAACAAAGAATAAAACGATGATTGTTGTATTTTTAACCATGCTAATACTATAATCATCATTATAGATAATACGATCATCAATATTTAGTACATTTCAATGCATGATTAGAATACCTATTCAGGTAGTGAACACTAAATTGCTGAGTCAACGATTTTGGAAGATCTAAGTGCTCGTATATGAATAATACTTACATACATAACACACGCGTTTTGCACAGCGTTGTCTGTATCTTCGATGCAAATTCACTAACTGCTTGGATTGACATAATAAGAGTGTAAAAAAATGAAAACAAGATACAACGGGCCAAACTTTCCCTCTGCGGAGACTGATATTAAACGCGTGACGCAAAAATAAGCCACGGGGATCGTAAATCGTCGTAACATCGAAAATCTAAGAAGAAAAGAACCTACTTTAGGCGAGTCAGGCAGGTGCGATATATAATTTAGGATTGTCACGTATAACTCGCCAAGCGGCTGTAACCGTCGCGGGCTCTCACCTGTAACGCAGTTCCGATCGCTCGGAAAGCCCTCCCCGGCACTAAGTCTCATCCATATTGGATGCTGCGTCGTGAAGCCTCTCTTAGCGGAGTGCCTCTTAGTAAGCGTGCATATTTCACGCACTGGATGCTCTCGTCTTCTCTTACAACTGATATCGATTATGCACGAAGTTTGAAATAACGCATGCTCCCTTATTTCTCTGTTTAATATTGAGTCTACTAAATATGTCAGTGGTGTAAACTCGAGCCACCTTTGGAGCGGTGATAAATTAAAGGTTAGGTTATCTTCTCTCTAATCACATCAGCAACGTCTGTGCAGTTGATATTTCGGGAAAGAACTTGTTAAAGGTTACAGTGGCAACCAGCTTTAATACAGAGGTAATTTAATACAGAGGTAACTTTAATTTTATACTTTACATTAATGAACCCATGCTGTTAAAGATTCTGCGAAATTCTTTTCAGCGTCTAAATAATAATAATAATAAAAGTGTAATGAGTGCTATTATAAAAGAACGGATATCGAGCGCAAAGCCTCGCTCGCAGCCGATTTCGCAATTAACGGAACAGCCCGGGTACTAACTTGCGAAGCGCCCGCAATGCAAGTGAAACATTCGGGGGCCGAAAACGTGATTTCGTATTGGCCACTCGAGCGCCCCATCTCCACGTCGGATTTGTTTTAATGCATCCGACGTCGCTGCGTACGTTCAGCAACGTAATGAGAAACTGAAAAGCTTTTGGGATTAATAAGCTACTTAAAAATATCTTGACAACAAACATTGCACACCGTGAAAGTTCAATTTGCGAAGTTACAGTCCTCGTCACGGAATGCTGTGGGTTCGATCCTCAATCGGGGCACATATTTCATTCACAAAACAATAATGGTTCTGACTACTCCTCATTTTTCCCGACCCGCAAAATGGCATAAGCCGGGGCCGCACCATCCTATGTACACAAGGGTACCCTTTTTGAATATTTGATTCGACGAGGAAAGAAAAATTTTCGTCTTTGCCATATTAAAATTACTTAAAAAAGTGAGAGGTATATTTCATTTAAGCATCAATATTTGGTGATAATATCATTTACCTTTACTTAATTAAGTGTAACGTTAGTGTCTACTGAGCTGATGGAAGTCTATTTAAAGTATCTTTATGTTTATATATTCTATGACCGTTTTACTGGACTAAGATGACCCCACTACTGGAAAAATATTATATAATGAACATAGTGTTTTTCCAGTGTCTGGGGGTTTATATATGTAAAATATGTTTAAGTACGTCTATCAGTTTTATAATATCCATAGTACAAGCGGTGCTTAGTGTGGGACTAGAAAACGTTGTGTAATAATTTTAATTATTAATTTATCAATATATAAAATGTAAGTAGTTTCATAATTAGCTGTAAGATGTCCACTACTGAACAAAGACCTTATCCTTAGAACGCCATTTTGTCATTAATCAATAACACTACCGTTTGCCTCCAAGGGCTCTCGCGACTATAACGATGTCTTCGGTCCAATTTGTGGTTGTACTTTCAACGCTAATTCTTCGGGTTCGTAGGCACCACTGGAGACTTTCCCTTTGATTGTCAGTTCTTCTGTTTATAAGTATATTCATCATGTAAATGTCTGTTGTTGTTGTTGTAGTTTATACCTTTTATAAAATTCCAGAAAAGGTAGAAAATGGTCGCTAAATTAACAAAAAAATGTAAAGGATCGTTTGTGTGTTAAGGAACTCTAGGCTCCAGGCTGTTTCAAGTGGACTTTAATATATCGTAAACATAATTCATTGATATGTAATAAAAAAGTGTCCTGATGAGTTTCTTTTTGATATCAGGATAGCTTATCCTGGCTGACCAAGTTTTCTGTAAAAAACTTTTGTTCTGAAGAGAATAAGACATGCTATAAACAGAAAGATAAAAAACAGAAGCCGCCATTAAAAGCGATAATACATCGATATGAGAATGATGTGATGCGGCATACGTTCTTGAGTTTGCTTGGTTTCCAAAAGGTTCGGCAGAACCTCGTCGCAGCGTAGCACAACGTCGCAGGCGCGGAAGGTCGAAAATTAAAAGTAAAAGGTAAATGAGTTGGTCGGCCACATTCGCGGGCCTGCGCCCCCGCCCTCGCGGCCAGGGTGGATCGATCGCGCCGCCGCCCCGCCCCGCGCGCCTCACACCTCACGCGCCCTCAGCCGCCGCCCGGCAACAACTAGCGGAACACCATCCGGGCGGGGGGCGGGCGGCGGGCCCTCCACCCCCCCATCCCTCCGTTACTACGCACACACTATTCAAATTAGCCACACTCGAACTTATGGAGTTACATTCTCATCTGTTGGGACGCTTCGCATGGCGACGATATACTCACGATCGATTTGCACCGCGCGACACTTTTCAATCGACGCTACTTAGAAAACTTATAACATAGGTTAATTATAACTAATAGAATACTAATACTTTACGAAATTAATGTGCCTACTTCATAGTTCAGATTAAGCCGCTATTTTTTTAATGTAAGAAGATGGCACCTGATGTTAAGTCATAACCAGTCGTAGAACCTTAAATAAAATGGGTCTCGGCTACCACACTCGCCAGACGAAACGCAGAAGTATAAAATTTCACGCCGGTCTCTTCTTTGTGTGAGGTCGTGGTACTTCCCAGTACGGACCTGCCCATTCGTTCAACAGAGAAGTTTGCTGCGTGGTCCTACCACAGTTAAAACAGTTAAATGTTTTTTTCAGATAGGGACAATGAATGTGACAATGACTATAATGTAAATGTGCTTGTCTAAATACAATTAAAATCACTCGACACCTAAAAATAAAAATAAAACGAGTCGTACTCGTGCACGAAGGGTTCCGTACAATTATCTATAAAAAACGGCAAAAACATTCAGGTCTGTTGTATGGGCGCCTAGGGAGCCAGGAAATACATTACCTGTGAAAATTAAAACTGTAACTGGTGCCAGGCGGACAGACAGATGATTCTTAGTAATAGTACTCTTAATAGTATTAATAATAAAATTATCACTTGTATATAGTGTGATGCGTGATATGTTATGATTTGTCTCGGGATGATGTCCGCATATTACGAGTGGCATCTTCAAATCAATCTCCGCCGTATTGCAATGAGACGGGAGGGTATTCAAATGCACAATTACTATCCATACTTTTGGGCCAGCTGCAGAGTTTGTGATTTAATTTAAATTGCACCGCTTCGCCCCATTTTTATTCTTTAATTCTCATATTTTTTTAAGTTGGTGTTAGAGTTCTAATGTGTAGAGGAATTAATAGTGAATTTTATTTACATTACTTGCTTCGTTGTATGTCTCTTCGAGTTTTGAACAGTTTTATAATTAAATTTTGAAACAACAAAAAGAAAAATTATTTATTTCATATTACCCTAAGAAGATTTAAAATGCCATGCAAATTCTTAACGTTTTATATTATAACAATATTAATTAAAATACAAATATGCTTAACTTAATCATAAAGTTGTAACAATGTATATAGGTACATGTTTAAATTACAGGTTACTAACGGTGAAAATTTATAAAATTATAAATGATTAATTTAATTATAAATTTGTAATTTTAATTTGTAAATGTTATTAATATTAAATTAAGCTAATTTGCTCAGTGACCATAAACACTGGAATGGATGGAAAGGTCGGGAATTAAAAATTAAAATCCGTAAACTAGTTTAATTTAATAACATGTATTTTATTTATTTTTGTAAGCGTCATTGTTATACCTACAGGGCTACAAAGGGCGAACTTAATTCCTAATGGCATTCTCTACCAGTCAACCCTTGTCATGGTGAAAAGCAGAGGGCAGGTGCTCAACGAAGATTATAAAAATGAAAGCTAATTAATTAGCTCTGAAATATAATTAAGTATAAGTAGGTATATAAATATGTAAACATATTTCTCTTTTTATGCAAAAAGTTGCCACACGAGCAGACGGGTCACCTGATATTACGTGAATACCGCCGCCCATGGACATCTGCTACACCCGAGGGCTCCAGATGTGTTGACAACCTTTTGAAAATTGGGCTCCGGCTACCTCACTCACCAGATGAAACGCGAAAGTATTTGTCATACTTCCACTTTACGCTGGTCTTCTGTGAGGTCATGGTACTTACCCGGACGGGCCTGCCCATTCGTGCAACAGCCGAGGCTGCTGCGTGGCCCTACCTCCGTAACTATATAGAATATATGTAAATATATAGAAATATACATAGCATATAAAACGATAAAATTTTATGGCGCTGCTAGCAGATAATTCAAGCATTAATAATTTCATTTCACAGCAATTGGCTTAAATTGATTGAAATTGTTTCTCATTCATAGTTAGTTCCTTTACACTTCTCGTAGATACACATACAATGTTTCGCATGTTTTTCGTTGTATATTAAAGTTTGAAATCTTTATGGGGTTTTAACTCTTCATGATCTTCCATATATTTATTTTTAGTTCTTTTTAAAAACATGGTTCCTTATAAGATTTTTTTAAATACTTTCTATTTATTTTCCCTCTTGTGGCTGATATGTGGTGAGCCGCAGTCCATAAATTATGATTGCATTCTTGTGGTTAAAACGTATTATACTGTAAAAAATATTTACATTTTCTGGGCTTTAAAAATAAAAGTACATCGACGCCAAAAAACCGCCCTAAGGTCTCAGAATGTCACCTTTTTTGTCTTTACGGTGTTATTGGAACGACAAGGATGCATGAAAGATTTAATGCTTTCAAAATCATATAAATGCATGCCAATGAATAAAGTATTCCGACAGGAGCAACTAATCTCGATTCCCTGGCTTCGATGGCAGAAGGCCAAAACTTCTCATGTACACAATGCGAGTGGAAAGTTAAATTCTGATTAATTCCGCTGTTGACGTACCCACGAATCGAAACTTTAATTAGCACACTTCCGCTCTACGAAAGACATGACTGAGATATATATGATAAAATATAAAGAAAATTCATTTCCTTGCGTGTAATTTTCCGTGACATTTTTTGTCAGAGACCAACTTTATTCCCGTCAGTGAAGTGTTTATTTAACGTAAGAAATTTAGATATGTTCAATATAGTAGCAACTGTATATAGCATGGGAAAGTATGAGAGTAAAATTATATTGGCCACAGCACTCTATTCAATACAAAACTGCGGCTTGAATCCTTCGCATTATGAATCGTCTATACGATAAATAGTTTATCAATTTATACAAAATTTACTTCGCGTGCGTTTTTTTTTTTGTTGTATAACTCTTGTGTTGACGTTACGCTTTCAGTCTTTAGACTATTAAAGCTTCATCGAACGCAGAACCGGTGGGCTAGCCAGAACCCACGGGTTAGAGTTCGCGTGTGTTGTAACGCGGGTGGGTACCAGTAGCTCGGCGCAGTCGGCGGGTACACTCGTGAAAGTGCGCAAAACGGCCGCGTGGACTTTCGCCGGTAATTCGATCGGGCCCGCAACGGCGCGGCATGAAACGCCGCTATTTACGCATTAACGACGACCACGGTACCCTTCAACTCGATACCCAGACGACGGAGTTTCCACTGCGCAACCACTGATCGCAAAATAATGGAATGTATCAAATACTACGCTCTAATGACTGCCTCTTCTGATCAATAAAAGACTCCACAGTAACTCTTTGAGTAGATTTTAACAGTATTCTTTGCTGCTGCATGAATGGCCAGGCTCGTCCGGGGAAGTACCACGATTTCACAGAAGTGACAGGCGTGAAGTGGAAATGTTACACTTCTGAGTTTCATCTGGCGAGTGAGGTAATCAGGGCCCACTTTATTAAAAGGTGGCAACGCATCTTCAAGGCTACGGTGTTGCAGATGTTCATGGGCGGGGGTTATCACTTAAACATCAGGTGAACTACCAGCTCGTTTGCCACCTTCTCGTATAAAAAAATCCATTTGTGTTCAATGTTGTTTTGCCAAATCTGTAAAAAAACAGCTTGAAAGCTAAACGAACAAATCGAGGCCAACGCGATATTAATCTTGCTCTATGTCGTCATATATATTGTGGAGTTTTCACAATTATTTAGTGTCACCGGAAGCTAGCCGAAAAGCTACTAGGCAAACGCGTCAACTAGTGGTAGAATTATATATGAGTTTATGTATACCCGTCATTCATCTACAACTTTAAATGTCTTTTTTTAACCAAATTAAAAATTTAAAAACAAAACGGGAAATGCAAGATTTGTTTCGTTTAATCTGTACATGTAGCAATTAGGCAATAATGCTTTCAATTAATATTTTGAATTTTGAATTACATTAGAACAATTACTGTCCTATACCCACGATAAACAGCTTTATTAATTTCGTGACATCGCAATTAATGACTGAATGTAATAAAATGGCAGATATTAATCATTGCCCACTAAATTGAATAAGCAATCGGACCCACGGGCGCCGTCGTCCGCCATTTGCATTGTTTCCTTTGATTTACGAATAATGTTATTGGGAAAGATTCAAACATTTTTCGCCAACCCCATGTCTGAATATTTATGGAATAATTGGACATTTTAATTTTCAACGCAGTTCGTCTTCCCAAGTGCGTCACATAACTATTTTAATATTAAGTTGTCATCTCTTGATCGTATTGAATATGGGCCAAGATATTTTTAGTTTCTACGGACGATTTTTGAAAGTAAAGAAATGTCGTAATATTAAGACAGCTGAACTCACGTAAACCCGGTGTATGTACCGACTAGTTCGGATTCATCAGGGTGAGTGCGACTAGTTCGCGGTCGCGCCCCGTCTCGCACTGCGCGCCTGATATCGCAGCGCGCGGCTTGAGAGGGCGGGGGGCGCGGGTTGCGCCGGCGATGATGACGCGTCCGGCGAGATTGGTCTAGTGTCACTATTGGTGTTATGGGGCGCACAAAATGTACTCACTATGTCCACGACACAATCGCTAGCACTATTGTTCTTATTCCGTGTCGCATTCAACAACACGGGTTTCCAAGTAGGCGGCAGAACCCATCCCTTGTCTCTATTAAAATTGGCACGGCTTTCGATTTCGATGGCTTCCAAGAGCTTCCGTGACACGAAGTTCTTCTCACGGGCTAGCACTTTCACCTTATCGAACCTAATAAAATGTGAGGTGTCGGAGTTAAGGGAGTGCTCTGCCACCGCCGAGGTGTTGCTGTCCATTTTGCGTATACTGCGGATGTGTTCGGTGAGCCTAGTACTTATGTTGCGTCCCGTTTCTCCAATGTAGCTTTTGCCGCAGTCGCAAGGGATTTCGTAGACGCCAGGGCCTTCTAGAGGGTCCCGATCCTTAGGCGATCGTAAGAGACTTCTTACCTGTGTCATGGGGCGGAAGTTGTCCTGATGCTACATCTACGGCGTAACAGGTGTCCAATTTGATCCGTTACCCCTCGCATATATGGTAAATATACCGGGACTC